ACGAGACCCTCGTTAATGAATAAGGGAAACAAGTGTATACTTAAGGGCTTGTTTTTTGTGTTTTACAAACAGTAATGTGATCTAACAGACAATAATTCCATGGAAGGTATAGGGAAAGTTATTAGGTCAATTGTAATGAAAATGAGAAAAATAAAAGTGCGTGAAAAGATAACTTGCCGTGGGCAGGATCCGAACCTGCGCCCTTCGAATAACGCGTTCGATGCTCTACTACTGAGCTACCACGACAGCTATCCCCCAGCCACTACATTGGGTATCCATGTCAATTTAAACGTGGGGTGTCATTATTGCCTGACTTAGCATTATTGTCTGTTAGATCTCATTATTATTGTGTAAAACACGAAAAACGAGCCTTTACGTATACACTTGTTTTTTTTTTATTCATTAATGAGGGTCTCGTACTGGCAGACTTGGTGCCTTTAGGCTGTATACGGGAGACTATTGGTCAGCTGCCAGTTAGTATTAAGTTCACGTGCTACGTGACGCCAAACAGGCTGATAAAGAGTGTGCCACACTCACTGTCACGGCTACTATTGGCGCTGACTGACACTCCCAAGTTTAAATTGACATAGATACCCAATGAAGTGGCTGGGGGGGGATAGCTGTCGTAGTAGCTCAGTGGTAGAGCATCGAAAGCGTTATTCGAATTGCGCGCACACAAACGCGGTCACGGGAAGGAAACGCAATTACCACGGGCACTCGAGGAGTTAGCGGTTTTTTCTTTTGGGTGTGTTTTCTGAATACCTTTTTCTGTCTCAAGATTGTGAGCGCTGCTCGGCGCAGACGATCCATCAGCGTTTGAGAAACTTCACGATTGGCGCGGACTAAGCGCTGCGCTGCTTTGCTGGCCTTACATGGAGTGAGCGGCGGTGGTAATTCGGCTGGTCATCGGCGACGGTGAAGAAGTGGAAAAGAGAAGGCCATAAAATCACGTGTTCGAACGTGGCAGCACTCGCTTGCCTCTGTGAAAAGCCGCCTATTGATTCACTTCAAGTCGGCAAAATGCGCGCACACCAACACGTCACAGGAAGGAAACGCAAACACCACGGGCACCTGAGGAGTTAGCGTTTTTTTCTTTTCGGTGTGTTTTCTGAGTACCTTTTCTTGTCTCAAAGTTGTGAGCGCTGCTCAGCGCAGACGATCTATCAGTGTTTGAGAAACTTCACGATTGTAGTAGTTCAGTTTGTTAAGATTGCGCGCAAGGCGCACTTCAGCTTATTCCAGGGCTTGCATTGCCACCAGTGATTGGACTAAAAAGTTTGACGTTTGATGCTTAAGAAATGGTCAGCTCAATGATCAGTTTCAGGGGCGAAGCTCCTTACAGCGGCAGCCGTTCGTCCCTCGTAGCCGTTGTAGTGTGTAACAAGTATAACATTTTAACCTACAAGGTGGCTCCGCTAAGAGATTTTTTCTGTGCGTTGTTGAACAATAAAAGATAGTGCTCAATGTACATGCCAATAGCTGCTTAGGGGGAATGAGAGACAGGAACATTCGGCTTTTAGTTAATGCGCACGCAGCGATCCCCTTTAGCAGCCATTGGCATGGACATTGAGCACTATCTGATAAGAAAAGGTTGCGACGTTGTACTCGCTGGGTGTAACCTGCTTAGTTTTAGAAAGGTTTAGTGAGCGTTGAGCCGCAGTGCCATGAATACAATGAACTAGTATATACCATGAACTCGAGGAGGCTAAAGGTGGGAAGTAGATACGAAGCGCAAGCCGTGGGAAAGTAAAAGCCGAGTTCTCCTGTCTCTCATTTCCCATAACCAGCCATTGGCATGTACATTGAGCACTATCTGACAGGAAAAGGTTGCTACGTTATACTTGCTGGGCGTAACCTCCTTGGTTTTAGAAAGGTTTAGCGAGCGTTGGGTCACAGTGCCATGAATACAATGAACTAGTATATACCATGAACTCGCTGTGGTTAAAGTTGAGAAGTAGACCCGAAGTGCAAGCCGTAAGAAGTTGTGCGTGTGCCACCTCTCGTTTAGTCCTTGGAATGTCCGCTGGATAGCGGTGCTTCTATATAGAAAATATATGAATAAATGATGCGAGATGGTGGTATGTGGAGTGTTGAATAGATGAACGAACGCACACACAGACAGATGCTTGGATGTACGTATGAACGGACGCAGGGGTGCATGCATGGACGAACGCAGGGACGGACGCGCGAACAGACGCAAGCACGGATGGGCGGACGGACAGTCACACAGACGGACGCATGGACGGACGGAAGCAAGAATGAATGCGCGGACAAATGCTTCGCCTTACTTTCCATTATTCACTCTGTGGATATGCTGCCATTTTTTTCACAGAGGAGACTGTGAGCTGATATCAGTATAAAGCTTGTATTGCTTGCTTTATAATGACTTTCCGTTCACACGTTCGGGAAGAAATTGTTTCCCTTGAATTCGTCTGCTGCCAACTTCGACGTGACGACCACATGACACCACGCAAAGCCGCGTACACAGCCAGCCTCGTGAAGAGATGGAAACCACATTGCAGCCGAGATCTTGCCGCAGGCTGTGAGGTTGGCAGCGATAACATGAACATCAGCCGGAAAAGAGCACACCAACCAATACCCTGACCTCGACCATGACGACGATGAAAGTCTCTGTGGCGTCCGCACCGATTCTGCTCCGGCAACCCACGGAGTCACCAAGTTTGCGCGGTTCATCACTCGAAGATACGAAAACCTAGCTTGAGCCATGCAACCATATTTGAGGTACCGAGAACAAGCTGAGACGCTTCTAACTGGGCAAACACCTCGTTTTAATTCAGAGAGGCCTTACGTAAAATTTGTGAGTGTTTCTATAGCGCATTCTTGCACACTTGCATGACTGCCATCCGCAAGAAGGAGACTACTTATTTGCTGGAGACCTTGGCACGGCTCCCAAATGAAAGGGAAGACATGACATGACTATAGCACCTTGCTGAAGTTTCCATGACCAAAGACCGAAAAGTTCGCCTGTTCATGTAGCGTGGTAACAAGAATTGTTCATAGGAATTGTGCTCATCCCGCCCAAATGGTCGCCATGTTGCTCACCTAGGCTACAACTCTGAAAAGTGTGCTTTAGAAGCAGATAAGTCAGCATAACCACCGCACTCCCTCAATAAGCTACGGAGAGGTTAAAGCGCTGCATTTCGATTACGTGTGCGAGACCATCAAGAGCAATTGTTTGAGAGGAACTGCGAAAACTGTTGCCACCCTCATCTTTCGGACGGAACTGATCGGTGAAGTCATATGTCATAAAATGCAGAAATGTCTTAGAGATGTGGTGCGTGTAGCACTAACGACAAGTTTATTAGGTTGAAGATGTACCGTTCGAACAACGGTAAGAATTACGTAAGATCTTTAACTGAAGATGCAACAACTCTCTACATTCTTTACTGTTGGGTAAGAAGAACAAATCCTCAGCCCGCAGCATAAAAATATAACAGGCGATGCCAGTTAGAAAAGAAGTATCAACAGGGCAGAGCAAAATGAGAGTTTGAGGGAGAAAGATGTGCAGAAGAAGCGAACTTCACCACCATTCAAACCTAAAAGAAAGTTCTTGTTTTGATTTACTTTGTTGATCTTGCTTCTAACATTTTTGGCCGAGTACAATCTGAAGTGATGAATTATGTGTTGCGCAGCTTAAAGGGTCGTAATACCCAATTGTCGATCCTAACTTGTTGATTTATTGATTGATATATGGAGATTAACGTCCCAAAACCACCATATGAATATGAGAGATGCCGTTGTGGAGGGCTCCGAAAATTTCGACCACCTGGGGTTCTCTAACGTGCACCCAAATCTAAGCACCATCTAAGCACACGGGCCTACAACATTTCCGCTTCCATCGTAAACGCAACCACTGTTACCACGATTCCATCGCGCGACCTGCAGGTGAGCAGCCGAGTACCTTAGCCACTAGAAGGCAGCGGCGGGGAGACCATAACTTGCGTTTTGTCGGTTGATCCTTGTATGTTCACAAACAACCTGGCGAATATTCAGCGCATTCGGGCATGCAGGTATTTAAACGTGAATATTTTTTTATAAACGAGCGGGCGGCCTAGTGGTCAGGCAACGCATACGCGCTCGCTAGCCCTGATGTAACGAACCGCTTGCTTCGCGAGCGTCGACAATGTGTGCAGCACGGGGGGCGATCGTGTTAAGGTTAAAAGCGCTTGCAATCGAGTTGTTTGAGCGTTGTGCAAGGTGCCACAAGAACTGAATGGCTTGCAGTGCTTGATGCAATGCCACCGTGTCGCCCATTCTGCACTGTGGGCTGTCGGAGATTGCAGAGCACGGAGAGTACTAGTGTCGCACTAACGTCACATGGGGTACATGTCGTTCGCTTCAGATAAAGTTTACATAGATGCCGCACGTATACCAAAAGATATGAAAGCAACAGCCAGTACGCGCAGCATTGTCATCAACCCTTATTAAGACGTGCATGCACGTATTATAGCAAACGAAAATCCGCACGCTTTGCCAATTTCACTGCGCGAAGAGCGCTCGTGATCGCAGCGTATGGTAAACGTTAAGCTCGCTTGTCAACCTGGCGCACTTGAAATAAAGCCACTTACCATTGTGGGAGGCTGTCAAGAACGTCTGCCACAACACCGATGTCGTTGTGGCAGACGTTCAACAAGGACACCTCAACAGGTCAGCCCAAGAATGGAGTATGGCGAACAGAAGATATAGGGAGGGAAAGATTGGAAAAGAGAAAAAAAAAGAGAGGCGAGGGTCACTCGTTCTGCTCTCCGCAACGGACTCACAAGCCCCCACGTGCCATGCGCAGCTAACTAGAAAAGCTCCCAGGGGTCGGAGAGGTATAGTCATCGAGACGAGGACAACAGTTTGATTGGCGCGGCGTACAAAGCGCGTGAAGCACTCGCTGAAGCGCGTAATCTCTGTACGGAAAAAAATGTGGTCCGTAGCACTCACTAATACGAGTCCAGTGGACATCGATGGTGAGGCACTAATGTTCCTTCAGTTCAGAAGCGTTCAAATAGCGCAGACGTCTTGAGGAAGGTGATGAGGGCAGCTTGCGCGCGCTTCACTAGGCATGCGTGTGCACGGGGAAAAAGAATCACATCAACAGTGCTGATGGAGAGTCCCACTTTGCTGTGAGCATCGAAGAGTGATCTGCGCGCGTCCGAATACTCCTCACACTTGAGGATAATGTGATGGAGTGTTTCGGGCTGCGGGCAATGACGGCAGTTTGGGTCTCCTCGTTCCGACTGTCTGTGAACCCGCTCCGCCGTGCGGTAGCAGCCGATGCGCAGGCGGAGAAGGAGGGCACGCTCCTCTCTCGAAAATCCAGTTTTCGGGAGTGGACGTGGTGGCTGCCCTGCCGCAACTCGTGGGTCCGGGTGGCAAGAGGTGACGGTGCACCGTGTGCGAAGCCGTGCTACGTCGAATGTGCTCACCGCTGTAGTCACAGGGGTTCCCGGAGAGTGTGCTTCTTTGGCCAGCTCGTCGGCCGCTTCGTTGCCGGATATTCCAACGTGCGCCGGTATCCATTGGAGCACAAGATCACACCCTAGGTCCTGCACTGCTTCAAACTTTCGCGCGATGCGCGTGGCAACCGGAGGTCTGCAAGAGTCCTGCGCGAGTAGTTGGAGAGCAGCACGTGAGTCCAAGAGAACGGCAGCTGAAGGAACTCTCAGTTGAAGAAGGGCATCGGCGGCGAGGTCAAGCGCGGCGAGTTCGGCTATCGTCGACGATGCCTCGCAGGCGAGGCGGAACTGATTGTGATTGATTAATTGATATGTGTGGTTTAACGTCCCAAAAGCACTATATGATTATGAGAGACGCCGTAGTGGAGGGCTCCAGAAATTTAGACCACCAGGGGTTCTTTAACGTGCACCAAAATCTGAGCACACGGGCTTACAACATTTCCGCCTCCATCGAAATTGCAGCCGGCGCAGCCGGGATTCGAACCCGCGCCCTGCGGGTCAGCAGCCGAGTACCTTAGACACCAGACCACCGCGGCGGGGTGGAACTGATTGTGAAGCTCCAGCGAAGGCACCACACACGCAACCGTGGCACAACCGTCATTCAACATTAAACCGTCAGTAAGAACGACGAGTCGCCCCGCGAGATGTTCGTCGAAAGTGGCGGCAGTTTCATGTCGAAGCGTGCACTCTGGCGTCATCCACTCGCTTTGCACTCCCGGTAACCATGTCCGAATCTTGAGAGGGCGATGGTGGCAGGGCGGGGCACTATAGTCCTTCACATCCGGTGAGCTCGGGACGAAGGCGTAGAATGCCGCAGCGCATTGCCCCATCCGTGAGTGCGGAAGTGAGGAGAGCCAGAATACCAGCTGCTGTCTGTGACGCGAGCATTTCATACGCTCTATGTTATTTAGCGCTCGAATATCGGCCCGCAGTGACAGTGGCATGTTTCCCGCCTCAGCAAGTGTTGGGCCGATTTTAGATGATCTGGGCCAGTGAAAAACTGGCGAATCGCGATACGATGCGCTGCGTCCAGTGTCTTCCAGTTGGAACGCGTAAGCGCTGCGAGAGGAAGGTCGTACAAAATGCGCGCCGCAGCCATTCCGTTGTAGATGCGGAGAGCTAGGGACGGTGTGCATCCAGTGCCGTGAGCATGGAGTGCTCGAGCGGCGGAGGCGACCCTTCGCGCGTTTCAAAGCTGGTCGCTGACCGCTGGTGACCAGTTGAGGCGTTGGTCCAGCTGCACTCCGAGGTAGGTCACTCGCCTCTTCCAAGGGATGGGGATTGTTTGGAGAGTGAACTTCGCTGTGTAGCGCTGGGCGCCATAACTCGGGTGCCGCAGCATCGCTTCCGTCTTCACTGGTGAAAGCGTCATCCCCCTGCCCGTGATGAACGCGTCAATGGAATCCAGGACGGTTTGGACACTGGTGCGAATACACCGGCCACTGGGCACAGGTCCCGTCGCGAACACCACATTGTCGTCCGCGTAGACCGCCACGCGCACATCACAGGAGAGAGAACGGGGAATGTAATCGTCAATATCAGCCAGGGCGATATTGAACAAGAAGGGGCTGAGTACACTGCCCTGCGGAACACCGACACTCACTGGACGCGGCTCACTAAGGACTCCACCGACGCGCACACGCATGGTTCTGCCGCCGAGGAAGGAAGCGATGTACGTGAAGAGGAGACCCGTCACTCCAAGATCGCGCACCGCGTTCAGGATGGTGGGGTGTGGCAGGGAGTCGAATGCCGCCTTGATGTCTAAGAGGATGAGGTACCCGGGCTCTCCTTTGTGCTGTGCCTCCTCCAGCGTTGCGATGACGTCGGCAAGGGCGTCGGCAGTAGTACGCGAACGGCGAAAGCCACACGGCGAAGGCGAGAAAACATCCAGTGCCTCGGCAATCAATTCAAGTCTCCTCAGTGCCATGGCCTCGAAGAGCTTCCCCGCTGCGGAGGTAAGGGAAACAGGGTGATAGGACGCTGGCTCCGAAGCGGGTTTGCCCTTCTTGAGCACGGGGATCACGATGGCTTCGCGCCACTCTTGCGGCACTAACCCCGTGCGCCGCACGTCGTTCTAGGCGGCCAAGAGCACTGGGAGCTGGCACTGATTGATGTTGCGAAGCATCTGGCATGTCACGCCATTAGCGCCTGGCGCTGAGCGCCGTTTCCGCGACGCCAAAGCAAGGCACAACTTCCCGAGAGTGAAATCCTCAGTGCATAAAGCACGTACTTGATTGCGCATGCTGGTGGTGAGGAAACAGCGGCGAGGTTTGTACCCCTCTCGGCGATGGTGCAGCGGGAATTGGGGAACCTCGGGCAAGCTTTCAGGAGCGCTGTGGTGGAGGGTGTCAGCCAGTAGCTCGGCCAATTGCTGGTAAGTGAGACAGTGTGCAACAGCAATGGCGAGGGCTGGCAAACGTAACTCAACGGGGCAGAGGACGGCACTGAATATCCTCCACGCACGCGCGGAGCGTCGCGGGTCGTCCAGCGTGACGCATAGACTGCCCCAGGAGCAGTCGCGTCTTTGCCGTGCGTGTGGGCGACACATGACGTCAAGGCGATTATAAAGTGTCCAGTGCTCCTTGCGGTCGCTTTTCGTCGCACGGCGCTGGAGCCTCCGGCGAGCCGCGCTTAAATTAAGAAGCTTTATGTGCGGAGCTGGTGTTCCCACTGGCACTGTGCACTTGCGCGAGGCCGCTTCAACGAAGCGGGCGACATGCGAGAAGTAGGCGACATCGGAAGGTGGGGAGGCAGCCGAGAGTTTCCGAAAACGTGGCCAGTCAGTTACAGTGTATGTGCGCGTGCCCGCGCGGCGCCGATCGAGTGGCTCTATGTGGCGGGGTAATTATCTGAGCCCCCTGTGTCAGCCTCCCTCTTCCATTCATACCGGCAAAGGTCACTCACAAGTGAGAGGTCTATGGCACTGCTTTTTACGCCTCGACGGACGAAAGTCGGACAGCCCGTGTTTATAATAAGCAAGCTTGTCCCAGCAATGGTATCCAACAGGTCTCTGCCTCTGCAGTCTATGTGGTCACTCCCCCAAGCCGTAAGGTGCGAGTTGAAGTCTCCACAAATCACACAGTCACCTTGTAAGCGTCGCACCAAACGGGTCACAAATGCCATGTCCCACCTGTGGACAGGATGGACATAAACACACGCCACTGCCATGTCCCACTGCCCGAGGCGCGCTTTAACCGCCACGAATTTAACCTCACTGCACAAGTTGTCAGAAACATCAACAGTGCAATGTGAGAGTCCATTGCGCACGTAGATGGAGGCGTAAGAGCGGGTGGGAGGATGTGTGGGGTCGCAGCAAACATCTAAGTCGCAATCGCGTGCTTGACACCTCGCTGTACAGTGGTAGCTCGAGTAACCAGTGAGTCTACATTCGCTTCCGCGTACATAAGCCTCCTGTAGTGCGACGATGTAGTACTCGTTGAGCCGCAAGTACTGAGCCGCAAGTACGTTGAGTCTCAAGTACGTTGAGCCGCAAGGACGGCGGCGCAAAGAACAACAGTTCCACTGAAAGAAGCGCAGCCGCCGTGCACAGTTTTTACTCGCCATGCTGTGTCAGAGCTTGTTGCGTAGCTAGCGCTCCTATTCAGAGCGGGCGAACTTAACAGTCGCGAGGGAGGAAGTCTGTGCAAGCGATAGCCGACACACTGCTTCAAACAAGCCTTGGAATGCAAACCACTGGTCAACAGCACGAGAAAATAGAATTCCTTGTTATCATGGCAGGACGACAACACTTGCTAGGCTAAAAAAATAATTGGAAAACCAATGTGTTTTTGAAACACCCGACAGCGTTGTACAGACCTTGTATAGAATCTGCTGCAATCTATCAGACGCCGAGCGCATTTCTGCCATGTTGAAGCCTGGGGGTGCTCCGCCTTTGCAGGCACAGATTGTCCATACTAACGTGTGGTGACAGATAGGGGTAGCAGTGCCAACAAATTTTCGTGTGCCATGTTGCTTAGGCTAAGGAAACTGGGATACTAAAAAAGTCTTTGCAGGAAATTAACCCCTATGTTATTTCCATTCTTCATGGCTTGACGCGAAGGGCCACATCTGTTTCGCCTTTTGCTGCTTACAATGAAATGCATGTTTATGTTCGCCGTTCTATACAGATGTGGCACAGCATAGGCACTCATCACAGCACGCTCTTGCATGCCATGCCAGAATGAAACAGTTTTTGCACAGTGTGAATGCAGGCAGAGACAAACCGGTCAGCCAGAGACAAACCGGCCTTGTGCACGAGCTTCAAAGCTGCATCGCAGCTACTCATGCTTCCCTCTGCTGCTTTGGACAGCATTACTTTGTCAATTACATTGCGATAACAATTTCATATTAGCCACGTAGCTCGTACATGTTATCGATTCTCAGCAAATTGACTTGTGCTCAAACACGTTGCTTATAGTTACGTTTTATTGTGGAGTTTAATTAGGTAGCATTTGGTGGTGTGATTTGCACAGGTATTGCTTCATTGAGTGTACTTGTCAAGCATACCATGTGCTCCTTCAGAGGGGCAAGCATGACATGTGCTTCTTCAGAGGGGCGGCCAATTTTAGAAGGGCGACCCGAGTGCCGTGACCCTCCCCCTGTTATTATTATTTTATACCCCAAGAGGAGCAAATATGTTATTCCAAATGGTGATCCTTCTTCCTTAAAAGCTTTTGTATTCACCTTTGCGTGCCTTGAAATGGTAATAGATGTCTCAAGTGTGTCAATACTGTTCAAAACTGAAATAATGCTGTTCTGGCAAATCTGTTACTTTGAACTGTGGGTTCGCTGCCACTGATTACGCACAAAGGTGGTTTCGCAAATGTTTAGTAGGCGATACACATCTGCCCTGCTGCAAAAGACGTGAAATTGTATAGTGCAAGTAAGTCCCGAGAGTGATGACGTACGCAAATATTTTAGGCCTACTGTGCTGTTTACGAGCACATTACCCCCAAAAGGGTATTCAATAAAATACCAGCGAATAAGCACCTACTTTATGAATACGCATACAATTTTTCTTTTCACGCACCCAAAAGACTCAAAGTTTAAAATGTTTATTTTTGCGTTAACGCTATATAGAGCATACGTTGATGACTACACCAGCAAGACATTATTGATTTTAAATATAAAGGAAGAGTAAAATTGTTCATATTCAGTTAAATTTGCAATAAACTGGAGGGGCTATTTTGTAAGCATTCTATCTAGAAAAGAACAGAGATCAAACAGATGAATGAAAGGGGTACACACTAGATTCGTGAAAGCTATTCTTTTGGTCAAGTTATGAGAATAGCCAATAATGTGCATAGAATGCGTGGAGGCCGCATTGCGTCAATAAAATCGAGACAAAACCGCATCCTAACAACATGAATTCAATTGAAATGAAGCGCTTGAGCCCAAAGAATGGAATTAGCCTGTTTTGCAACTGACTTACCATAATCCTGCTGCGAAAACTAAAACAAAATCAATCCTCCAAATCGCAACAGCACCCAGCATCTACTCAAGACACATATAAATGGCTGAAGTCATCCCGCTCAGCAATCTTAAGCTTTCAGAAACAACACATGCCAATACTGATAGTGTGCTATACTCATTTTATATTTTTTCATGTGTTGAAAAGCGTTTCCAAATTCCCTGAGCTTGCCTATGGACTTTTTGCTTCCTTTTGTTTTTCCATCATATCTCCTCCCACTCTAAATAAAACGCTTACAAATTAACCCTCACGTCAATATAGGCCGTTTCTAGGAAATAACGCTTTGCAATGGTACAACAGCGCTTCCTTAGCCCCCAGCTGTGTTGTGATATAGCCTTCTCTCAGCCACCCTGTATTGTTCCTCATAAAACGCAAATAACTAAAGCAATTGTTATTTCAAAATCCGGCGACTTCTCCAGTTCATTTAAAGGGCCCCTGTATTTTTTTTGAACTGTTGAAGTAAACACGTGCATCATATGCAAAATGCTGCATGATCAATGATTCTTCACGTGGCAGCGCAACAAGCCGCCAGTGCTGCACAAATTCCAAGAAATGATGCCTTCATGCCTTTTGGGCTGGCACGTGGCTCTAAGATGCTTAATCCTACGTGCAGAATAAATAATCTACAATTAGTCAAGCAAGCACCTGCTAATTTGTTAGACGCTGCCCATGCCACTTGTCGTTTGTCCAGATGCCCGCATGCATGCGCGTGCTTGCAAATCAGGTAATGTGGTCTCTAGCACAGGGTTCATACCGGCAAGATTCGTATAAGCACCAGCTGGCACAGCAACAGCGATTCGCCAACAACAACACAGTTGACAGAGGAAGGAGTTACGGCAACCATAACAAGACAGTGTTTGGAGCAGCATGTCGTCGATGATGTATGCCGAGCAAGATTAGAAGAGGTGCTCGGCAAGAGAGCCAAATGGCTTCGGAGGAGGTACCAACGAAGGGTAGTGGAAGGAAGAATGAAAGTAATGATTGCTGCGCTCAGATAATCAAACACGTTTAACTCCGCTCATACATCACCGTTTCAAAAAAATTTTACGGCTCCTTGTTTGTTGAAAACTTGCGCACAAATTCTCCACTACCACTGAAATTCCACCTCTGGGCAGTTGAATATTGCATCTGGTTTCTGGCTGCATGCAGTATGGTACATATTGCACGCCAGCCCTGTTCAATTATTAAATTAATTCTTGGCGTATGGTTGGGAAATTGGTGGCCTTGAAATCAAGCGGCACATGTTTAGACCAGCAGCGCTATTGCCACTGATACATACTGTGAAACGTGGGGTTCTTATGCAGCATGGCATATTCTACATTGATTTTATTAGGATGGCGCAGGAAACATAGGTTGGCACAATTGTGCGCAGACGCAGCATCACTTGTTTAGGAATGGGGGAAGTTTGTATTATTAAAGCCACATGGAGCTAACAGATAAGGCAAACATAGCAATTCAGAATAATTATTAGTTGAATTTTTATATTTTGTGTCTTGCTCGCCAGGAGTGAATTTTCAAAACGAACTGAAAGGTACTGTTGCGCTTACATAGCAAGAAAAAACAAAAAAGTAACTCAGACCTCCTTTTGTTGTCTGCCAAGCTAACCTTGCTAGTAGCAACATAATCACCACCACCACTTTCTTTGCTGCGAAGTAATTGACATAAATGTTGATGCCACTTTTATTTAGTCGTATTGATGTCTTGAAGCTTTTAAACGTCACTGCTTCTTTCATCTATGTGAGCTAGCAAGTTACACCAGTGCTGTCTAGAGTACTAACATCTCACACAGAGAATTGTCACTAGTTACAATGGGTCATGCTTCACATATTGGCCACGCTGAACCGATGGCACACAAAGGAGTTGGCCTTGTTTTAAGTGCACCGTAAAGACGCTCTTATGCAAAGTGTTGCGACATGTGCTACGTGTATGAACCATTTAGCTCACACCGTAAAGACGTGGTTATGCAAAATGGTGCGACATGTGCTACGTGTATGAAGCATTTAGCTCACACTGCCGATCAACTGCACAAGTTTGACATGCAGACACATAAAATTAGCCTTGGTGACAGGCAGGCACTC